GGAGGTTGAAAACCCTAACCCTTCCTCTTCGAAAGTTATTTCCAAGGTTGACGTTTTTTCATAAGTCCGGAAATCTCAAAGGTCAAGGTCAAAATTCTTGGTTTTAATGAAAGGTCTTGCCAAAAAGAAGTTATATTTGAAATATGAAATTCCTATTATCTACCAATTAAAACTGAGGGCCAGAAGTAAAAATATGCAATTTTTGTGTAAAAGTGGGTCTAACTCCAAGGTCAAGGTCAAAATGTCAAGGTTTTGGTATCAAATGGGAGGTCTTTTTATAATAATAAAATGTGAAGTATAAAAGTCTAGTACTAACCCCTCAAAAATTATAGTCAAAATTGTATTTTTAAAGTAGGTCAAACTCCAAGGTCAAGGTCAAAGGATCAAAGTCCTTGGTATAAAATGAAGCGACTTCTCACTAGAATTACATTTGTGAAGTATGAAAGCCCTAGCACTTTCTGTTCAAAAGTTATAGCCAAGCTTAAAGTTTTTTCATAAGTACGTAAATCTCCAAGGTCAAAAAGTCAAGGTTTGTGGTATCCAATGAAACATCAAAGTTAAGGTTAGCTAACCGGCATTTCCCAGCCCCTGGGGCCCTTTGAAACTTTGACAGGGGATACCCCCTAAAACCCTTAACCCATCCCCAGTGAAAGATGGTTGAGGTTCCCAGAAATAGAGGACAAATGAATGCTTGAAATATGCCCCACGCACTTGGTACCACTTGGTGGTGCCACTACAGCCCCATTTTGAAGGTGGGAAATGATAGCCCTAGAGCTCCTCTACCTTGCCCCAATAATCATTTGATGAACACTTCAAATATAAGGCATATAATTATAGCTGGCCTTTTCCAGTTTACCAATATACAATGATGAAAAAACATCAAATTTCAGGTTAAGTAACCGGCCTTTCCCAGCCACATCGGGCCCACTGAAACTTTGACACGGGATACCCAGTAAGATCCTTAACCCATCCCCAGTGAAAGATGGTTCAGGTTCCAAGAAATAGAGGACAAATGAATGCTTGAAATATGCCCCACGCACTTGGCACCACTTGGTGGTGCCACTACAGCCCAATTTTGAAGGTGGGAAATGATAGCCCTAGGGCCCGAGACCTTACCCCAATAATCATTTGATGAACACTTAAAAGATAAGGCGTATAATAGCTGCCCTTCTCCCGTTTCGCAATGTACAATGATGAAAAAACATCAAAGTTCAGGTTAGGTAACCGGCCTTTCCCAGCCCCTGGGGTCTTTAAAAACTTTGACAGGGGATACTCCCTAAGACCCTTAACCCATCCACAGTGAAAGATGGTTCAGGTTCCAAGAAAGAGAGGACAAATGAATACTTGAAATATGTCCCACACACTTGGCACCAATTAGTTGTGCCACAACAGCCCCATTTTGAAGATTGGAAATGATAGCCCTAGGGCCCCTCTACCTTGCCCCAATAATCATTTGATGAACACTTCAAGGATAAGGCGTATAATAGCTGGCCTTTTCCCGTTTCCCAATGCACAATGATGAAAAACATCAAAGTTCAGGTTAGCTAACCGGCCTTTCCCAGCCCCTGGGGCCCATTTAAACTTTGACAGGGGATACCCCCTAAGACCCTTAACCCATCCCCAGTGGAAGATGGTTCAGGTTCCCAGAAATAGAGGACAAATGTATGCTTGAAATATGCCCCACGCACTTGGCACCACCAAGTTGTGCCACTACAGCCCCATTTTCAAGGTTGAAAATGATAGCCCAAGGGCCCCTCTACCTTGCCCCAATAATCATTTGATGAACACTTCAAAGATAAGGCGTATAATAGCTGGCCTTTTCCTGTTTCCCAATGTACAATGATGGAAAAACATCAAATTTCAGGTTAGCTAACCGGCCTTTCCCAGCCCCTGGGGCTCTTTGAAACCTATAGGGGATACTCCCTAAGACCCTTAACCCATCCCCAGTGAAAGATGGTTCAGGTTCCACAGAAATGGAGGATAAATGAATGCTTGAAATAAGTCCCACGCACTTGGCACCACTTGGTGGTGCCACTACAGCTCAATTTTGAAGGCGGGAAATGATAGCTTAGGGCCCCTCTAACTTGCCCCAATAATCATTAATTTTGATGAACACTTCAAAGATAAGGCGTATAATAACTGGCCTTTTCCCGTTTCCCAATGTACAATGATGAAAAGACATCAAATTTCAGGTTAGCTAACCGGCCTTTCCTAGTCCTTGGAGCCCTTTGAAACTTTGACAGGGGATACCCCCTAAGACCATTAACCAATCCCCAGTGAAAGATGGTTCAGGATCCCAGAAAGAGAGGACAAATGAATGCTTGAAATATGCCCCACGCACTTGGCACCACTTGGTGGTGCCACTACAGCCCAATTTTGAAGGTGGGAAATGATAGCCCTAGGGCCCCTCTACCTTGCCCTAATAATCATTGGATGAACACTTCAAGGATAAGGCGTATGATAGCTGCCCTTTTCCCGTTTCCCAATACACAATGATGAAAAACATCAAAGTTCAGGTTAGCTTACTGGACCCTTCCAGCACCTAGGACCCTGCAGAAATCTGTCAAGGGATACCCCCTAATGCATCCTACCCACTCCCAGTGTTAGTTTGTTCAGAAGACCGACAATGAATAAAATATGAATGCTGGAAATATGCCCAACGCACTTGGCACCACTTGGTGGTGCCACTACAGCCCCATTTCGAAGGTAGGAAATGAAAACCCAAGGGTCCCTCTACCTTGTCCCAAAAATCATTTGATGAACACTTCAAAGATAAGGCGTATAATAGCTGGCCTTTTCCCGTTTCCCAATGTACAATGTTGAAAAAACATCAAAGTTCAGGTTAGCTAACCGGCCTTTCCCAGCCCCTGGGGCTTTTTGAACTTTGACAGGGGATACCCCCTAAGACCCTTAACCCATCCACAGTGAAAGATGGTTCAGGTTCCCAGAAATGGAGGACATATGAATGCTTGAATATGCTCCACGCACTTGGCACCACTTGGTGGTGCCACTACAGCCCAATTTTGAAGGTGGGAACTGATAGCCTTAGGGCCCCTCTACCTTGCCCCAATAATCATTTGATGAACACTTAAAAGATTAGGCGTATAATAGCTGCCCTTCTCCCGTTTCGCAATGTACAATGATGAAAAAACATCAAAGTTCAGGTTAGCTAACCGGCCTTTCCCAGCCCCTGGGGTCTTTAAAAACTTTGACAGGGGATACTCCCTAAGACCCTTAACCCATCCACAGTGAAAGATGGTTCAGGTTCCAAGAAAGAGAGGACAAATGAATGCTTGAAATATGCCCCACACACTTGGCACCAATTAGTTGTGCCACAACAGCCCCATTTTGAAGATTGGAAATGATAGCCCTAGGGCCCCTCTACCTTGCCCCAATAATCATTTGATGAACACTTCAAGGATAAGGCGTATAATAGCTGGCCTTTTCCCGTTTCCCAATGCACAATGATGAAAAACATCAAAGTTCAGGTTAGCTAACCGGCCTTTCTCAGCCCCTGGGGCCCTTTTCAACTTTGACATGGGATACTCCCTAAGACCCTTAACCCATCCCCAGTGGAAGATGGTTCAGGTTCCCAGAAATATAGGAATGTATGTACAGGGTACGTAATTAATACCAAACGACGGAAAATATCTTATTATCATTGGCGTCGGAAGCAAATTAAAGTGGGGGGCTAAGGGTAAGAAATTTTTTTATACCTCCTAAAAAAACCTGAGAAGCAAACACACACACACACACACACACCCTCTCACACACACACACACACACACACACCCTCCCACACACACCCTCACACACCCTGACACACAAACAAAAACAAGGGATGTGTAATTTCCAAACACAAAAATCCTATTTCGTAGGTATACCTACACAGCAATGTTTAATATCTATACGTAGTCTAACTTTGGAAATAAAAGGTGGGGGTGAGGATTGTGGAGCTAAGCCCCCCTCCCCCTCCCCCGGTTTCGACGGCTATGTCTATAAATCCTAAATCTAATTACACATGCATTTTCTGATTCCTATAGATTGGCCTGGTAGATTTTGAAAATAAATAGACTGTTCTCGAAAAAAATTAAAAATAAATACTTATCCTCGACCAGCAAGAAAAGCTGTCCTTGGATAGTACTTCCAACCCCCAATCACCACCCGAAACGGAGTTTCCCTTTATCTTTGGCTTGTCAAACTTTTTTCAGATGCAAAAAAGTTATCCTTCCCTGACTTACGTGATGATATGAAGAAATCTGAAACGAATTTCTGGTATTTGCAATGAGTTTCTATATGTGTTTTTATTTGGGTGCTTAAGCACTGTGCTATATATCTCTTAGAGAAAGAACAGGTTTATGATGTGGGTTGCACTAACCCGCAATATTGGCTTTATTCTGATTTGTTTGTACATTGACCTAAAGAGAATATCGTCATATATACTGATGCAACAAGAGTGGGTTACGGTCTTGACATTTTTGTATCAGTCTCATGTATCTTAACTAGTTAATTTTCTTTTTTTCAGTGCACGGATCAGAATTCGCCGAATTAACACTTTTTTTATAATGTGTAATACTAATAAATCGGAAAAGTCATGAATGAATCATTATGCATTCTATAGACTTCAATAGGACTTAAACTACAGAAAGCACTTCACCACGACGTCACCACGTGACGTCTATAGTTAGAAAATATGCCTTAATGAAACAGTGAAAAGTTCAATACTACCCCGGGGATAATTAATTTCAATTTGTAATAATACTGACAAAACGTCAGAGTTACTCAAGCTGTAGAAAGCAAAATTATTAAATAAGAAATGAAAGACAATGACAAAAAGTTTTGATTTATTTAAATTGCAGAGAATTTGAGCAAAAAACAGACACAGGAAATAGTGTAGAACAGCATGGAGAATAAAAAATACAGTATGCCAACTCACAAATCAAATAATTCTGTCTTTTTTAATGACTTTACGATCAAATTATCATGTCACTTGATATTTTTTAAATTCGAGAGTTTTGAAGTCTATTCATCTCAATTAAAGCATCGGTTGGTGCTGTTATTGAGGAAGGAGAGAAGTTCACCAAGGCCAATCCTGACAATTTTTTAACACGCGATAAGCCAACATACGCCATCCCCTGTTGGAATATTTTTTTCCCAATGTCCAATACAACACGTTCTAGAGTCATTCCTTGAGCTTTGTGTATTGTAACTGCCCAAGAGGGAATTAGTGGAAACTGTGTTCGAAGAACTATTTGTCCAGTTTTAAGAGTAAAATGTGAGGAAATTGTTGAAATAGCAATTGAGTGGTGTTCCATAGAACTTTGGAAAATAGCTCCAACTTTTGGATCATCAAACTTCACCATTATTTCTGAAGGATTTTCACTTCCTGGTTGTTGTAGTTCAACGTTTTTAAGTTTGAATGCAGTTACTATTCCAGTTGCCCCATTTACCAAGTACTCTGATGACATAATGTTTCTTATTAACATCACTCGCGAGCCAACAGCAAGATTTAGGACTGTTGGTAAACCTCCACACTGTCTATCATCCTTAGGAAGAAGATGTGATGGAACATTATTACTCAAATTATCTGTATTACCATTTACTTGAAATAAATCTTTACTGGAAATTTTAAAAACATGATTGGTAGAATCAGTAATTTTTTGTAATTGGTTCTCATTATATTTTTCACACTGTTTTCTGGTGGGATACAAATGGACTGCACTCTGCCACTCTTCATGTTGGAGATTTACTTTTTGCCTGCCATTGAGTAATTTTATATCTTCATCAGTTATTATGCCAACTCTTGCTCTGTTTAACAATGATGCATAAATACTATCCTCGGATTGTCTGAAGTTTTGTGTTAAGAATTTGACTTTAAACAAAGTCTTCCACAAATCGAATGGAATCATAGATGTTTGTTGAAAAATATATGATCCACAAACTGGCTTAAGCTGCAGCATGTCACCAACACACAGAATACTTAATCCACCAAATGTTTTTTGATGATCGTCAGCGGTGTCCTTAATCTCAGTTAGGCGTTTGTGGATGACTGTAAATAAGTGAGAACTCACCATGCTAACTTCATCTATAATGATTGTGTGAATATGTTTGTAGGTATCACGCAGCTGTTGTAGTTTGGTAGAGGACAGACAAGAGTAATTTGTCACCAAATTTTTGTCCACTGGAATGGATAATGCACTGTGAATTGTTGATCCAGATATATTTGCAGCAGCTAATCCAGTATATGCCAGCAACATGACAACTGGGACATTTTTGTTGCTTAAACGATTTAGATACTCTCTGATAAGTTTTATTAGGTACGACTTCCCCGTTCCAGCACCACCTGTTATAAAGAGATGCAATGGGTTTGTAACAATTCCCGAGTTTGCGATTTGGTTAGAATAATGTTCATGTAGCAGTTGCAAGACTTCTTGTTGATCTTGACCTAAAGATTCAAGTGATGTTTTGAATTGGTCATCAGTCATAGTTAGATATGGAAGAGCTGGAACATTATCATGTTCCACAGGAGTGTTTGTCTGTTCTAGTTGATTGGCCAGTAATGGATTTAATGAAACAAAATGATTAGCTGGATCTTCACACAGATCACCATGGTGCATTGTTGTGTTTGGAGCTGCAGCATTAAATGTAACACCATACAAATTGTCCAACAATTGCAACTGTTGCACTAATCTCCTTACATCCTCTGTGAATTGCTGGAGATGGAGAGATGATGAATGTAACAATCCATGTTTCTGTTTCAATGCCTCTGTGGCGGAAAGATATGGGCAAATCAATTCACTTTCTTTTCTCCATGGAAGATATAAAAAAAGAGTTTGGAAACTTTTATCTTCTAAAGTTTGTTGAAACTTTGAGCTCGGTGTTTTTAGGCAGACTGGTTTTGTTCTTTTATAAATCCATCTGTCAAGATTTAGAAGTTTGTATCTTGTGCGTTGGTTTGAATTTGGTCTTGGTTCCTCTGCAGTTACAATGTATTCAGTCACAAACTGTGCAAGACACATATCATTAAATGAAGGTATTGATGGTCTACTTTGGTAATAGTCTGTAATGTTTGGCAGGAATATTTCTTCTGATGTGTCATCTAAGTTTTCAAGTTCTTGATGGGATTTTAACAACTTCGTGCGTTTTTCAAAGGGAAGTGTATTTACAAACACAACCGAGGAACTTGACTGTACAAGAGGAATAGAACACACAATATAGGTAGCTTCTTGGGCACTCATTTCTCTGTGTGTTAGCAATACATTTCCAAGTTTGAAAAGCTTTCTGGATATTGTCTCAGCAGATGACATGGCATTTAAATTCTTAGCAATTTCCTCCTTCAGATTCATTGGTTCAGCTTTACTAATGTATGCACATATATATGCCGCTGCTCCATATTTAGATCCAATTAATTGAATATCCATGTTTGATTGAAATATTTTCAAAATTTCAGGATTGTATGCATTAACCCATATATCATTCTCTGATCGTTTGGTTTCATAGAAATTTGTGGCATGTGCTGGATCCATGTTCATTTTCAAATGAGTTTCCTCTGACACCGGTTTTGGGAAATGAAAACGGCACAAAGTATTTCTTTTCTGACATGTTTGAGTGTGTTTGTGAATTTGGTATTTCAGTACAAAGTCTCTCAGCTCTTCATCATCTTCTGCAAGAGGGATTACAGTTTTTATATATTTGTCTATAAATGATGCTGCTGATCTTTGACCAGCGTGAGTGTCCAGGTCTGGTGCATTTTCAATCCAGAGTAATGCATGAACATGGGGGGAGCCTCTTTTTTGAAACTCGATTCTGGACCAATAATCTCTCACTTTTCCAAGAGGACCATTTTTCACAAGAATAACATTTCTTAGCAATGAATTCCACCTGTAATGGAAGAAAAATGCAGCAAACACTGGATTTTTACGGAGTAGTTCTTGCTTCTCTTGGTATGACATTGAACTTTGTTGTTCAGAATCGACAGACAAAAACTGTAAAAGTTCTGGCCAGTGCAAATCATTGGCTGAAAGGGTTAAAAAAAATGTTGGTGGTCCTAGTGAGTGAAATCTACACAACAAATCTTGTAAATTGGATTTCCAGTATGCAGCTGTTCCACGTAGAGGTTTCAAATATGAATAAAAATTATCCAATTCATTTCCATTTTGGAAATTCCCATGTCTTATATCTGACATAGTAAGGCGTACCTCGCAATTCTGTGTTGCAGTTGATGCCTTGGTAATTCTTGTTGCAATGTTTGTTAAACTTTGCAGTTGTGATTTTTGGAACATATTGCAGCACCAAAATAAATAAGTTGGATTTTGTCTCCATCGTGGATCCACATTCAATATTCTTGTCTGAAGGTACAATTGTAGTTGTATTTTACCATTTCGTTCAGGTTCATTTAGTCCATTTTTTCCATATGGATACAACTTCACAAAAGCAAGCTCTTCACCATGAGATTCTTTATAAATGTTAAGTGGTACTCCAGTAGCCCTTGGTAATGTTCTCACCTGTGTATTTAAGGATTCCAAAATTTCCCTCCTTGAACTTTCAGTAGGGTAAATATCACTTGGCATCAGACAGGATTCTTCACAAACAACATTTAAATTGTTTTCCGATGAAATTTCACCATCAATGGTATCATCTGCTTGAGTTCGCGTGGGATTATGACAGTTAGTGCTGGAACTCTGTTGATCATCAGGTTGAAAAGTATGTAAATGTGAGTAATCTACCTGAACATTTTCATACAACTTGTTATTATTCTTCAGCCAATGTAATGCATTATAAACATTCATTAGATTTACTGGAAATGACTTAAGTAGATTTTCCTCTCCTGTTTGGTAAGGAATATGAATAGTCACAATGTTTGAATCAGAAACTGCTAATGGTAAAGAACTGTGCAATGTTTGAATATTTTCAGGTAAATGGATTATTTGACCTTTAGTTCCATACTGTCCACCAGGTAGAGTAAATACTGATAAGAAAGCTGAAACTTGTGAAATCAGTCTTGTTTCCACTATGTTTAAACTTTTCAATTCATCAGCCTGTTCTCCTGGATCCATGCAATTAACTATTGCATTTATTGGAAGCTGCTGTTTTTTTATTTTTGTCACACATTTAGCACAAAAGTATACATCAAGTGTAACTTCTAAAGATGTACAAGCCAGATTTTCAAATGCTCTTATCAAGTCTGCATCTGCTGCCTTTACCTTTGGTGAAAGTAACAGTACATGACAGGATGAACAAAATAATTTGCTGCTAACAGGAATTTGTTTTAAAAAAGCATCTCGTGACTTGTCTATGGAACAAAAACGCTTATTTCTGGGTTCATTCTGTGTTGAAAATGATGATGGACAGGATCTTTTTCTTAAATTATTCATGATCCTATTAAAAATAAAGAAATAAAAAAAGTTATCATACAGTCACACAGCAACATGATGCCTACATATTATATAATTTTGTTTGGGTTTAAAGAATTAATTCATGTGCATACAATGAAGTTCCCTTTACACTTCACATTCTCAGATAAGGGACATAATTTGAACAAACATAACTGATCATTTAGGGACTCCGACCCTCAGGCAGGAAGGACAACTCTTTAATATATAATTTAATTCAAAAAGTGTTTAAATTGAGCTAGAAAATTAAATCTTTTCATGCAACAATTTTCATTACAATTTATATGCCTCTCAATGTGCTTCAAGGTTCTTTGAACTTCTCAGAAAGGTTTAATTAAGAGTGTTACTAATTTTTATCCCGAAAAAGCATTTTTAGATACCCATGTTTATTAACATGATATGCTTTGCAAAGAACCTTGAAGCACATTGAGAGGCATATAATGAAAATTGTTGCATGAAAAGATTTAATTTTCAAACTAAATTTAAGGACTTTTAGAATTAAATTATAAATTAAAGAGTTGTCCTTCCTTGCTGAGGGTCAAAGTCCCTTAAAACACAGTTCAAACTTTGCTTATGAAAGTTAAGCAAACAAACATTCTATGGCAGAATGAAGTAAATGTAAATTAAATTTTTAGGTTTTTTTTCTTAATATATTACAGTACTTTAAATATTTGAAAATTTCCAAACTCACATATATAATTATGATAATTATACACTGTAAAATCACTAATTTTCATGAGGGTTTAATTTTCATTGTTTTTAAGTATGGAGAAACCCACAAATTTATGAATACCACAAAATGTTAATTTTCATATGCAATACAATTAACATTCCCCAACCAAGAAATGAGGTACCAGTAAACCAATATTTTTTTTCTTAACCTTCAAAAACTTGACCCCATGAAATTTTGTGATTTTTCAGTATGCAAATACGTCGAAGGATGTAGCTTTTGTCAATGGTAGTAGTTTATGATGTTTCTTTAATAGGCTTAAATAATTTTGCTTTAAAGTAACTAATATCTGCCGTATATTTATTCAAATTATTTGAGGGAGGCTTAACTAAAAAAAATTTAATATTTCAAGTTAAAAGATTGTTTTAAAATCTTAACCAAGAATTTGTCAGTCATAGACATAGTCATCATGACTCACTATATACAGTGGAGCCTCATAAACTTTCATTTGAAACTGCACAGCCCTTGATAGTTGGTAAAGGAACAGTTAATATCCACTGTTTAATGAAAAGTAAGTTGTGATCAAGGTTTGAACCCTTGAGCTTTCAATAATTTCAGATTCATCAATTAGATTGGCTAATTACAGGTATTTAAAACATTCCCTCCTTTCTGTTGTAGAATAACCACGCCACTTTATAGCTGTTATGCACATATTATGAACACATCAAACAAATTTTTATTTAATAATAGTACATACTACAATCTAACAATTTACCTTGCTTTCCCACTATGCTAATGATTTCTTAGCAAAATGAACACAAATAATTAAACTAAAAGTCTTGCTAACAGATAAAAGTGAAATGTACATACATCTTCAATGTAATTTGTCAAACTGCCCACAATAGGTCAATAGCATGTTCAACTGTTGTGGCACGACTAGCAATAGAAAATTACACAAAATTACCAATGAACTGTTCTTTCTCAATCTTGAAAAAGCTTTCTTTTAACACTGTCACATTCACTTTTTTCATTTTTCACAGGCGTGTCTCTTTGATCGGTTCGTTGCACCTTATGACAAGGCTCATCATCATTATTATTGTCATCCAAGGACCAGGGTCTATACAATTTTTTAGGAGGTGGAGGCAGTGAAGATTCTGCACCATCATTTATTTCTTCATCATCTGTCAATAGTTCTTGACACTCATTTCTTTCTTGTACACTAGTAATTGTCAATGATTTTGAATCCTTTGTATAAGAGCATTCGAAGACATAAATATCTCCTACGACTGATTCTAACAATGCCCTTTGATCGCACTCCTCAAGAGTTACAAATTCTTCACACTCTATACCAAAAAGTTTTTTCCCAACCATATCAAACCCAGTTGCCCCCATTTTGAATTCAGAGTCATTGTCTTTTAACATGAAAAAGTTCTTGTATCTGTGACATGCTTTAGAGTACGCCTTGCCGCAACTGTAGCAAAATAACTTTTTATTGGGCAGTGTTTTCAATGCATGGTGGCATGACGGATTTGGACAACCTTGATAACTTGTATTATCCTTTCGCACACCAAATATTTTGGCAACAAACTTAATTTTCAGAAATGGGACCTCAATTGATGGAATATCAGTTATTTTTATTTCCTTGGTTCTGGGCTCACAGCTCTGCTCTGGAACTGTCAGGTCACTGCCACATGTTTCGAACCATAATTTCAGATCTTCTAATCTTTTGTTGACAGTTGAAATGAACTTTGTTCTTGTTGATGTTGTTAATGACACCTGATCTTTGTAAATTTTTATTTTCGCATCATGAATTTCAACTGGTTGGTGTAACACCATACGATTTACATCATCCTCAAACAGCGACAATTTACAAGAGCAATTTGAATTGTCAATTAGAGTAACTTCTCTGCACTGCAAGTTTTTACTTTCAATTTTAAAAATCTCTCCTTGAGCAATAGGTACAGCACACAAATTAACCAAGGAGTTGGGCTTCATTGAAAAAATATTTTTTATATTTAAAAATTCTTGTTCTTTCTGCTTAGTGAGGAGTTCAACGGCTGGCAAATGCTCAATTACCGATTTATCGGTGATGTTTATTTCAACTTTTACTGTTGAAAGTTTCTGATAGTCAATGTACTGCTCTGGTACATTTTTTATGTACACATTTTTAATTTTGTACACCTGTCCGACTTCAAAGGATCCGAGGATGTCGGTTGTCTTATCACCAAAACATGTTGCTCTTACAGTCCCTGTCTCATCAGATAGATGTAAAACTCCATATTTCACATCTTTCGCAGATGTTTTTACATCTGATTTTGTAAGAACTTTGATACAGAGATTTGAGTATCCTGGCTTTAAGTTAACAACAGAGGAAGTTGCCTCCATTTCTGCAAGAAATTATACCAAATAAGTAAAATTTTTCCTTTGTGATAGTACTGTCAGCTTTTTATTAAATTAATATTGACCTAAATTTTCAGATAAATTTTAATCAAGTTTTCACAGATCTATATCAGTATATGCCCAGCTACCTACCAGTTAACTTTTTTAAAAGTTTAATTAAAATTTGCAGATTGGTAAACTACTGGATAGAATGTTCTATCGTTAAAATGATATTGTCCTACGGACCCAGTTTAACTATACAATTAGCTCCGTGTATTCGTAATGTAGCAAAAGTAACACGGGCGCATAATGCATTTACTAGGAACAATCTAGAGAGTTCCGAATGTAAACATGGCAGGTTAAATTTGAATCGAGAGAAAAACATTGAGAAAATTAATTGGATTTTCGTAATCATATGGATTATTTTTTCAGATAAAAGGCATAAGCAATCTCAAAAAGGTTTGTTTTGATTATTTTAATAGTTATTTCCAGTTCGAATAATTTTATATTCTTCAAAATCGTTTCGGAGCGGATTCGCTTCGATTTGCTACATTGCAAGTTATATGGGATGTATAGACGAATTTCACATTCCTAAGAGTTATCTCCTGTTGTCGGCGTAATGCTCATTTTCCCCACTTTGTCTTTTGTAAGTTACCTGTTAATATTTTTAAATTTCAAATGTTATAGTTAAGTACAATTTCAATCTGTACCTGTATTGCCAGAGTATGGGGCAACATGAAAAACGTAATGGGCATATTCATGTAGATTTTATTTCTATGATACTGACCCATAAAGTTGATAAGGTTATAAAGGGAAAACAGCGTCTTACGCCGGTTGACCCCGCAAAGGGGAATAACTTTTGTAAATGTGAAAGTCGTCTATTCATACTGTGGTGAGGGCTTGTACTAAGACACAGATTATTCTAACTAGTAAACTACCATTGACATTGTTTGCTACATCTCAAATGATGCAATTTCCTCCTCTTTACACATTTTGAGACGACCCCCACTCCCATATTTGCATTTTGAAATGTACCCCTCCATTTGAATCCAAGTTTCGTATTTTGATACGACCCCCTATACATCGTTTTTTTTTGTCCGAGAAAATTCGGAATGCCACACTATCACAAAGCCACATTTCCTGTTCTTTTACTACTGCATTATCGCAATTCGGGCATACACCTACATTTTTTTCATTCTGCCATATTACTTTAAAACGATCTTAAGTGTTACATACCTTTTTTTCCTAATATTAACGTCGTTGTTGTTGTTGTTTTCTTTGTCTATGGCGTTAGCGCGGGAAAATTGATATATATACGCATAGAGTAGTTCGGCCGAGGACTTCGATCCCGAGCCAATTTTTACTAACAAAGAAATTGAACAATATTCGGGATCGGCCTCACATGATTTCTTTACCAGTGCGCCATGGAAAATAGTCCGCTATTAAACCCGGAATATATTTGATCAGAAACATCTTTTAAACACATCCTCGATTTTTGTTTTCAGAAATTATTTCTTTGACACGTTGCATGTTGTTCTGCATCATGAAATAAAGGAAATCGATGACCTAGCATCGTTTTAGATAACTTTTGCAAGCCCCTTTGTTACGAACGACCTGAAAAGTGCTGCTAGAATTTTTTTTTACATTTTGTTCATAAGATCCGTAAACCATACGATTCTAGCAGCACTTTCCAAATTCAAGTTAGGGCTTGCAAGTAAACACCCTGTCTGTTTTATTTTACGAAGAAATTGTAGAAATATATTAGCATACCTTATTCACAAGCTTTATTTAAACATGAATCAAACATGATATTCATTCCAAATGCTTTTAAACTCCGATTTCTTGTGTTTGTTAAGGCCAAAATAAAAAATACCTCTGTTTCCCCTAACGCGACCGGCCCATTTAAATCACGCCGACTGAAAGGATTTTTTAAATAGAATGATTCAAATAATTTTTTTTATTGTCAACCAAGTTTTATAAAATATAATTTCATCAAAATAAGTTGTTACCAGAACGGCCAGATTTGATTAGAGAGAAGTAGTTCTTCATAAAACAACGGGGATGTCTCAATATTATGCCTTTAGCTAACCAGAAATCCTCACTCTTGAACAATTTGATAATAAATTATACCATTACTATTTAAGAGTGTTTCGGAGGTGTCTTGGCGTCTCCATGTGAGTGAATAAATTTTCGAAAGGGAGGTAAACAACGAACAAACAAATCTGTTGAATTTCAGGTATATGTAATACATGGAAAGACCATGCAGCCTCATGATCAGATCAGGGGCCCACCTAGTGAGCACATTATTCATTTTCACTGCATTTTATTTAATTTGAGTTTTAATCTAACAAACGGTTCATCTATATGTTCCTATGTTTACTATATGCCATTTTGGAATCATAGGAGTTGTTGTAAATATGTCTGCATATTCATCCTGATATATATAATTCAGTTGTACTTTTTCATGCCCTTATTTACGAGTTAAACTTCGTGTCTATGACATTCTTTTATATAGCATTTTTTTTTATCATTTGTAGATTCAGTTTGGTTCATTTAAATATTGTTTAAATACTCTTTCCAAATAGTTTTGAAATCATAATTCAGCTTCCTGAGATTTGAACATTTCCCCAATGCTCCAAATTTAGACGTACTTCGCGCTTATTTGCCATTAAGCAATGGGGATCTTTTTTGAGCCAGCATTATGAGTATCTTCTGCGACACTGGACATAAGTTTTTATGGTCCCTTTTGAAGGACCGTTTTCAACGTTCCTCATTTACTCCAAAGCAAAATGCTCTAATACCACTTCAAATCTCATGGCCTTCAAAAAGTACATTGACTTTCTATAAGCACTGGAGGGAGATTAAATTTTTGAAAAAAAAATATACTTGGAGGTCCAGTCTTTGCGTATTTGAGAATTTTGTCTTTTTTTAATTCGATTTATATAAATGTTCTTTGGCGTGAGATATTTCACAAGTTCATCTAAAGTAGATCTTTCAATTAATCATAAAGGATGTATTCGCTTTAACAAAAGAATTGACCTATAGGAGAGAACAATTTCCCGGAAAAAACGACATTTAAAAATCAATCTTTATTTGTTGTTTTCTACCGTATATATGTCTACATTTTTCAATTTTGTATTTGATACCTCAAATTTATTATTTACAACTTTACAATAAACCTCCAAAGTTGACCGAAAGACCATTTTGACCATAAAAGCATTGATTTTTGCATGAATTTTGGCCTTGAAGTCCTTCAGGGCAGGCCTGCCCCTAAATAAAATTGTGATATTTTGATAGGTTAGGATGTAAGGAATAAATTAAGATAAGATATTTTTAGGGGCACCCCTGCCCTGGGGTCGAAATTCACAAAAAACCTACAAAAAATAAGGAAACCTGATTTTCATCACCTGCTTGAAATTTATGCCAATTACTGTAAGAGTCAGACTAGCTCAGTTGATATAAGCGCTGACTTTTGCACCTTGGATACTTTATTTTTAAAGTCGGGGGTTCGAATCCACCTGGTACAACACTTTTAAACTTTTTAATTTCGCCTTTTCAAAGACTTTTTAGATTTTTTCCTTCAATTGTCTATCCTTTATGCATGCCCATTCTTGATATATAAGAAACACTAAAGAGATATCAAATCGTAGCAATCCAATGTACAGTTCTCAGTCAGGCGGAACGAACCTCAGTATAAGCACACTTTCTTCGAGGACAAGAATAACTCACTCTGTGTTACTCAATACAGGTATTCTTGGCAGCATTGTGCTGCAATGAATTTCAATTGTATACACTGAACCATACTTCTAAGTGTTCACCTAACATTTTTAAAGTTTAAAAAAAATGCATACAATTCATGATTTCTTTAATTCATGGTTAACGACGCATATTTCAGCTTGATGTTGCGTAAATTTCATGCAAGTATCTAGTCAGAATTTTAAGCAAAGTGTCAAGGAAATGATGTACCCTCAAAATGAAAATTCACACAAAAAAATCTCTATAGAGTAAGACCACCACTCGCTCTTATTACTACAAGACAATCTTTACAATCTTTACTGTATGATACCATGTACCCCTGAATAGGAAACTGACCCATCTGCTGCCACACCTACTGCATAGATCTTTCCAAACCTTTGAAATTGTGTGGAAGGGGGGGGGGGCTTTGACATTCCTTATAAAAATCCCAAATGTGTTCAATGAGATTCAGATCCTGGAATTTGGCAGTGTATCATCACTCAGATGCCTTTTGGTCAATATCCTAGGGTGTTTAGCACATAAATACACCGATTTAAGGATGATTCAGACTGCTTCAGCTGATATTAGACTGTGACGAGCACCGATTTCTTATCATTTTCATTTGATTGAAATTGTTTGTTTTCATGTTTCTAAGATAGTTTCAGGACAATTTTACACTCTTTCAACCTGGTGTGACGCGAAATTTTAGCCTGAGACGAAGATCAAGGTCACTTCCGGTTTGGTTAAATTTTGTCCAAAACTTTAAAACTGTGATAAATTGGCGGTGAAAAATGACGCACAGCCTATAGAAAAATGTGTTTAAATGGGTTTTGATACTGGTTGTTAATTTTTAAAAGTAATATCAAGGTCAATTAAACACAAAAATAAAAGTGAGTAAAACATGGTGCAAGGATGGTTCAGATATCAACATTCCAACGGCTCCCACTTCTAACTCAATGGTCATTTTTCCAATCTTTTGTGTTTTTTAGTGAAACCAGTTTTTAAAATTTGATAATGATCACAAAAAGATGCTAATTTCACGAAACACAAGCTGTAAAGTAAAGATTTATTGTTTTTAAGCTACGTCACGGTACATTGGTTTTCATCGGTGATATTTTATTTTCTTTCTACAATTGTTGAGAAGACTCATTTGTTGTAATAATTTGAAAATATCATACGATTCTATAAAGTAGTTTTTATATAAGTGCAATTATTAAAGTGAACACTTAGAAGTTTTGTTAAGTGTATATTCCTTATAATTAAATCATATTGATTTTGGCTACATATTTCAGTAAATGCACTCCCTTGGATTTCATTTCGGCCTATATAATTTGCACACATTAATGACATGTTTTTTTTATATCCACGGATAAATGGCCTAGACATGAAGAACAGAATTCAGAGACAGTAGACACTACCTTTATGAACCATGAGAAGTAAAGACAAATATCAATTAGTACATATGGAGATAACAAACTCAGAAAATCAATGAAAGGGTTCCTTCTACCTCTACTAACTGAAATAAAAATTTAGGAAAAACAAAGTAGTATATGCATTTAGCCTAATGTCATTAATCGGAACGGAAATCGACAAGCTTTTTGTAGAGAAAAAAACCAAGCCCGGTCCTATAGGTCAGATCCCTATTTATAATGAAGTGATCCTTTTGCTTTTAAACGGCATATGTCTGATACTCAGCATTTTATTCACTAATCACTTCCTTTTGTACTTTTCTTATTTATAAATGTAATGTTCCATCAAATTTTATAACGTATTTTCAAAACTGCTGTAAGAAAATAAAATTGTTTACCTACCTACCGACCCAACTTAAGAATTTAGGCTCGGGTTAAGGGAAACAAAGATATTTTTAATTCCGGCCTTATGCCTTTGCAAATTTTGATTCATTTTTACGACGCCAAATCAATCTTAAGGTGCGGTCACACGATGCGACTTTTCATCCGATTTTCCATCCAATTTTTCCATCCGATTTGCTTTCGACTTAAATCTTACCGTGTGACCACCGAAGTCGAAAGTCGAAAGCAAAGTCTGAAAGTCGTTTGAAAATCGGATGCATGGCTGTCAGATTTTCAATCGACTTTCTGAAGAAAATCGTGACGTCACAATGACATTCACGCGACACGAAAGAAATAAATATGTAAAATACTAATAAGTTTTTAACTTTTGCCATTTAAATACACCTGTGTAATGAAAAAAAAGAAAACTCCTTAACCCAAAATCATTGTGTGAAAAAGAAAAATTACTAGTACATGCATACAAAAAAATATATCATGTATTCTTCAACCATATTGTGCAAGCATGAAAATTCGTGTCTTTATTATGCATTATGATTTATCACAATATTTTTTTTCGGTTATTCAAGAGCTGAATTTAATAGATTAAACTTCATTCAATTCCTGAATATTATCAAAAATAGGGGTACTTTGAAATTAGCAATTTTTAAAATAAGATCTTCCTCGCAATTCTTTATATCGCTGTTAATTACTACCGGTATCTACAAAACATAGCAATTATATAGTAGAAACCTCAAGCGACAACTTGATTCT